ATTTTACAGCCAAACAGAGTCTTATAATTTTGCGGAGTGAGGTATTTATTTGCCAGCCAAGGGTCAATTCCGTTCGGTTAATGTTTCCCGATCAACCTAATTTAATCAATTGAGGAAAAAATGTTTTTTTCAAACCTGCGTCTAAGTTTATCGATAAACCTAATTAATCAATTAAGAAATTTTTTTTTTTCTAAATTGTGTCTTTTTAAAACATATGTGAAGAGTATTTTTTATAATAAATATGTATAAAAAAATATAAAAATTAATAATAATTTTAATATTAGATAAATTAAATTACTAATAAATTAAAATTTTATTTTATTTTAAAAATAAATTTATAATAAAAAATATATTTAATACACTCATAACAAATATTTTTAAAAAAAATATATTTACAAGATCAAATTTAAATCACTACCCGGAGATGAAGAATCCACTTTAACGTCACTTTATTATCCAAGTGCCTCATAACAAATATTTTAAGTATAGGTTTAACAAATCTAAAAAATAATGAAACATAGGCAGGCATGCGTGGTGCGTCAGGTGACTGCGCGCGTCAGTTTCAGAGACTACATCACCGATGTATTGTTGTCTGACTAATCTGATCTTATATGAACAGTACCCTGATACTTGTGGAACAGAATTTATTTTGCCGACGAGGGGAGAGAACTCTTTTTGACTTTTTTTTTTTTGGTGCAACTTGTCATTTATAAAAGGTTAAATCTTTAATTTAGTCCCTGAACTATTAACAGAACTTTGATTTGATCTTTAAACTAAAAAAATCTCTGATTTGGTCTACAAACTATTGTATGGAACTATGGATCCCCGATTTAGTTTTATTGTTTATTAATTTACCTCAAGTTGATCATTCCGTATAAAAATTAACTAACATGTCTTGTTGTTAACATGATACGTGACTAATAAATTACTATTTTTTATCATTAAGTTACTTTTTTTACTGTTAAGTAACGTCAGTTATTTTTTATATAAAAAGACTAATTTGAGGTAAATTGATAAATAGTAAGAACCAAATTGGAGGTTTGTACAATAATTAGAGACCAAATTAAAAAATTTTTTAATTTAAGGATCAAATCAAAAGTTCATATAATAATTTAGACCAAATTAGGGGGTTTAACCTTTACAAAACCATTATGGACTTGAAACTCCGACTAATTTAAGACGGGCCCCAATAGGTTAGTCGTTAACTTGTTTTTTTAAGTCTTTTATTTTCCTTTCTGCAGGTCATATTTGGCCCATCATCATGGCCCGAATATTGCAATTTGAATCCAGATCCAATTTATTTTCCTTTCTGCAGGTCATATTATTTGGTGATAAATATAAATTCACCTTGAATTTACAGGCCTGAATTATAGCAAGCATTTTTTTTGTTGGGTAAATTTAATAAATTTGAAAAAAAAAAAAAAAAAAGAAGCAGAAACCGAATAAAATAATTTGAAATAGAATAAAATAAAATGCAATAAACAATAAAAAAGGAATAAAAACCTTGAAAATGAAAAGTTTCCTCCCAACCAAGAAATCCTAATTTAAGAGTTAAAATAAAAAAAAAAAAATTTTTACACAAAATTTGTTTTTTACTAATTGGTTATGATGTTTTGTACGCTAATTACAGTATGCTAAATAATAAATATAAATGGTTTCCATAAATTACAATTATTAGTATTACTTATTTCAAACAGTTAAACCAAATAATAATTTTTGTGTGGCAATAATTTTTGTGTTGGAAATCTCTCTAAAATTGATGAAAATGTTAAATGATTGTTAGTGAACACATCACGCCGCTAAGATTAATTAAATATTGACTAATATTTCCGATCAATTTGGGAAGAATCAACTGTTTGTAAATTAAAGGTTAAATTCCCATTTTAATTCTTCTGCTTTGATAAAAAAAAAAATCTTTTTAGTCATTTTATTTAAAAAAAATCTCTTTTTGATACTTAAAATTTAAAATCTGATTTTTTTTCCAGTCTCCATGTTAAGTTTTATATAGTGATATATTAGATGATAAAAATTTTTAAAAAGAGGAATTAAAAAGAGGTTTAAAATAGCTCAAAATTGGGTTTTTTTTTTACTTAGAAAAAAGCCCCCTTTTTTTGTCTATTTTCTTTGAAATTTTTGTTATCTAACGTCAAAACTTAGTGGTAAGACTAAAAATGAACTGAATTTCAAACTTTAGAGACAAAAAAAATATATATTTAAGTAAAGAGATTAAAAAGAGATTTTTTTAACCGAAGTAGAGAGATCAAATTAAGATTTTAATCTAAATTAAAGGATATACTACGTATTAACCACCAAAATTTCAATCAAAAACTTATTTTGTTCGTAAAAGATTTTAAGTACTAATTTGCCCAATATTTTGCACTACGTTGCACTCTAGAACCTGGACTGCAAATCTATTATTATTATTATTACCATATAAAGAGCTGCAGAAAATCAAAACGATTTATTGAATAAAATAGCAAAACTAATAATAATGAAAATTTAAATTAACACAAAAAAATTTATTAAGGTATTTAAACAATTTCACATATAATTCTAATACATAAAAGATTCATGTATTTAAACAATTTCACACATAATCCTACTTTTTATTTTCTAAAATTATTTTCTTGTTGAATTAAAGATTTAAAATGATTTATAATTTTAAGCATTTTATCCTTAAAAAATAAATTTTTTATTAAATAAATAATTAAAAATAAGAAATAATTATAATATTAATATAAAAATATATTTATTAATCTTGACATAAAAATTTTATTATTTTAAAATAAAAAATAATTTTTAAATACTAATACATCTTAGTTTTCATTTTTTATTTTACAATAATTTATGGGTGATAAAAAAATAATAGAGAAGTGATTTGAAACGGTGAGGGGGACATCGGTCCTGACTGACCCTAATGATCCTCTGGAGGTGAAGCAGATTAGGTGATGCATGATTCACGCTTTTGACATTTTCTTTTTCTTTCAAATTTTGTTTACGACCAATGGACAGTTGTGAGGAATCATATCATTTCTCTCTTGTTTATTAAAAGGCCGTCTTTTGACCTCAAATGTTGATTTACCAGCTAACAACTGTGATTTTATTAAGCCAACTGCAGTGTTTCAACCAAAACTACCAATTTAATTAGTTAAGTAATAATTTTTTTAATAAAAATAAAATATTTTAAGTTCAAATCATATAACATGTAAATAAAATAAATTAAAACATTATATTTATTATATAGTTTAAAATTTTCAAAACAATTAAAATTAATACTAAAAGTATTAATTTATTTAAATATATTAAATTAATATAAAATATATTCTTAAAATTACTTGAAAAGAAACTAATTTCGAAATGTTAAAAAAGTGACTCAGACGCATAGACGGTTAAAAAAAAAAAAAAAAAAAAAAAAAAAAAGAGGCTGTCTTTTTACCAAGAAAAGTCCACCTAACAAAAAGCCTTCCCGAGAAAAACAGGAAATATTCAATCTTAATAAAATTTATTAAAGAAAAAAACATGTGGTGACAAAGAAGAGAAAGAACGGGTCTGAACTCAGTAGCCTCAGAATATGGAGGGATCCATGCAAAGAAGTTTCTTTCACTAATTAAAAACTATCAGCTAACTACCATGCCTGTCCCTTGCATTTGTTTCTACTCTGTAGTCATTATAGAACATAAAGATAATGCCAATTAGAATTATATGAATATTGCAACTCAGACATTTCTAAAATGGTCAGCTATTCCATCAGTACCTAACAAAAATGTTCTACCTAAACATACTTTATCATGTAAATGAAAGTAGATGAAACATCAATGCCAGGTAGCATCAGAACACAACTCAAAATTGGAAGACAAAATCTGTAATGATATAAGAAATATTAATTAAGGGCAACTAAGCAAGCATTGAAACTAGCTGCTCAGATCAACATTATGCCAAATCACAGTGATTCGAGAATATTGTCGAGTGGAAGAAAGAGGAACATGCAGTAAGAATCTTAGAACAAACTTATTCCGTTCAGCACCTTTCCCTAATTAGATAATATATCAAGAAAAAGAGTTATAAAGATGATATATGCTCCTTCATCTACAATAGTGATGACAGAACAAAATTTCAAATAATATAACTAGGTTAGTGCAACAATTTTTAATTACTATCAACAGGCACGTAAATGTCACAAACAGGATGAACTTACAATATCGATTGAATTCTAATAGTACAAAGCGCAGAGACATCACAATCAGATTATGAGGATCTCCCAGCATCAAAAACTCCCACAATGAGTAAGCTCATAAACTCAAGTCTCCCATCTCCCTCTTCCCATATTTTTAAGCACGAATTGCAGGAACATCACCATATTATCACAAAAAAAGACAACACTAGAAATAAAACATAAAGAACAACAAAGAAAAGCTGTAAGCTGTTTATAGTGAAAAAATCAGTAAGGGGTATAGTAATAACCAGGTGGAGGCCCCATCCCATTAACTGGTGGCATTCCATAAGGCATAGCCATAGGCATAGGACCTGGGGCGTAGTATCCAGAGGTGCCAATCTTAGCCAAACTAGTTTGACCTTGCATCCCATCCCTTGCATATTGCTGCCACACCTGCTGCTCCTGTACAAGCAAATGCTGTTTCTTCTCCATGTCAGCCATCTGTACATAGGATGGAGGTGGAACGCTCAATGATGCAGCAAAAGGATCCTGGTTAACTGTCTGAACTGTCCCATCAGGGGCTGGAAGAGCCAACACCGGTGTTGTACTCTTCCCTGACCCAGGCAATGCCACACTGCTGGCACTTCCCCCACTCAACTGAGCAGTACTAACATGCTGCCTCACCATTCCTTGATCATACATGCCATTCAACAACAATGGATCAAACCCACCACCCAAAGCTGCCTTCTGCCTTGACAAATTGCTTGCTGTCTCAACCAAAGCCAATTCCCAATCTGCCTTGTTTGGTTCGGCAGCTGGAGTCTGCCAAGCAGATGTCACTTCAGGCTGCCCATTAGATGGGAATGCTTCCCATGACCCATTCCCATTAGCAGGGGGGCCATTAAACAGAGCTAGAGCCAATTTGTTCCCCTGGTCATCGGCAGTGACATTGTCTTCCCTCAGATCCACCAAATCGCCTGCTGCTTGTGGCTGCTTAGGCTCAGGCACAGGTTCAGGCTCCGGTGGTGGTGGAGTGTAATTCTCAGGTGGAGGTAGTGCCTTTATCTCATTCATATCAGGCTCAGGCTCCTCCTTAGCAACAGGAGGAGCTTCCTCCTTCCTCTCTGGACTCTTTGGTCTCTTAGCTCTGTCCCTCACAAACTCCTCCAATGTCTCTAACAATTTGCTTGTAATCCTTTGCACTTCAGGATATTCTGATGATCTTGCCACTCCGGTGTCCTTGCACCAATTATAAAATGCAATCAGCTCATCAATCTGTTTTGCTGCACTTGCATATGCATCCAAGGCCTTGACACAATCTGGATACTCCATATCAAAGAACCTGTCAAGCAACACAGCCAAAACTTCACAAATATCCGCGTATAACTGAAAACTCTCCTTCACAACGGGGTACAATGCAATCAAGATCATCCTACTGTTCTTGGCCAAGCCTGTAGGACGACAAGACAGGAACCTATCCAACAGCCTCTGCAAGTGTCCCATCTTACCAAAAAGCCTCTCTGGCTTCATTTCCCTCAATGGAGTCACGGTTCTTTTCCCCTCTCTCCCTTCCCTCCCCACTGCCTCACTCATATCACCATAAGACCTAGACCTCCTCGTCATACCATAGTTCCCATACCGACTTTCACCTCTAGAATCCCCGTAATCATACTCATTTGGCCTTCGAGGAGGCGAACGGAAATTGTCTCGGCCTCCATATCTGTCCTCCCCATTACCATGACTACTTCCTCCACCACCACCACCACCACCACTTTTTCTCTCGAAAAGCATCAGCTCAAGTCTCTGATCCAAGTACAGAGCATAAGTTCTCACAAAGGCAGAATGATCCCAAGAACTCGAATGCGCCTCGTCTCTAAAATCCGACATGTTCAACAGCCTTGTGCCTTTTCTGGTGGCGTACATGATCTCTTCCTGGAACACCGGATCCCCATCGTTCAAGAGCCTATGCACGAGCACAAGCGCCTTCAGGGCAACAATCCAGTCACGCGTCTTCCCAAGTCGCTTGGACACCGCCGACACACAAGCGTGCACGTACTCGCGCGAATAGGCTGTCAAACTGAGAATTTCCCGTAGGTACTTCTCGCCGGCGGGGTCGTCGTCGTGGCTGGTGGCTTTCACGATCGCCACCTCCAGCTCCGGCGCTATGTTGCCAGCTACCTTCGCTATACCAATGCTAGTCTGGTCTTTAACAGTCCCGATCGCTCTACGAATCGTGCTCGGCGCCATCTCGACCTTTGATCCAACCAAAATCCCTCCCTATTCACAGATCTAACAATTCATCACTCAACAGTTAAGCTCAAAACTGTAGATCCACAAACTCCACCTCATTTAAGACTACAGAATTAGCTAATCAACTCTTAATTAACATTATCCGACTCCTTAATTAAACGAGAAGTTACAGGTTTTTGAACTTACCGTTCGGTACTGCGGTTCCGGATCTAGCTAAAAGTTGACGAAGACCGAGCTCCGGCGAGTCAAACGGCGTCGGATCTGTTGACTTTATTCATAAGAAGAAACCAAATTGCGGTTAAACGGCGGCGATTGGGATGAGATCCGGCGGTTGTTCTCCGACTAGATTTTCTCTGCGTGGGTGGAGAACGAAGGATTTGGGGAAGGCAGGGGAAGGTCCGAGTAAATAGGCGAATTTAAATAGCGGGTGGTAATCCGGAAACGTGGGGCGATATGGACCGTGCGATGAAGGGAGATGCGAGATCTGGGTGAAGGAGAAGCTGTTAAGTGCGGATGTGTCGGGCGGTGGGTGCGGGTTGTCTGAAAGAAACCAAACCAGGACAGAGAGGGAGGGTTTAGATTGCGTGCGTCGCGGCCTAATTTTCCTTACAACACTACGCGTACGGTTGACGGTGATAGCGACTTCTCTTTTTGTGAATTTTTTTTTTATCACCGAACTAAAACTAATGGTTTTTATAATTCAATTATTTTATTTATTTTTAGAAGTGGATTTTTTTTCTCGTCAATTTATTTTTTTTATAAAAAGAAAAAATAATGTAAATGAAAAAAATGTTTAAAAGCAATAAAACTTCTGGTTCTGGAATACCCATCAATATTTTTTTTTATTTTCCTTCTCATCTGCAACTTAAATGTGCGTCTTAGGTTAATTTAATATATTCTTTTCATTGCGTGTTTAATAATTTAGTATTATAAAATTTTAAAATTTTAAATTTAATTTTAAATTAATGGAAAGCAAATTCTTGTTGAGAATTTAATGTTGATGTGTCCATTGACTGAGCTGCCAGATTCGTTTCCTTAAGATATTTTTGAGTTGGATCTTTTATTTTATTTTTTTTTATAAAAAAAATTATTAGTAGGTTAATATTGTTAAATATTAATATTTGGAGATTTGATCCCAAATTTGATGAATAGTTCACCGATCTCAATGAGGTGCTTGGATCTTAAAGATATGAGTAGAATAAGTAAGACAATATGAGAAGATTTATTTACTATTCTGGAACCATTAATTAAATTAAAAAAATTAATTTATATCATTATGGTAGTTTTTTTTATTATAAATATATATAAATAAAAATTAATTTTAATTTTAATATTATTATCAAATAAATAAATTTAATTAAATAATTAATAGATTAAAAATTAATTTTTATTTCTATATAAATTTATAATAAAAAAATATATTTAATACGTTCTTAACTTATATTTAAAATTTTAAAATACAATTTTAAAAAATAAAAAAAAAATTTCACACTAAACTTACATAAATTTTTTCGATAATTTCTTATTAATATTATTATGGGAATAGCATAAAATCAATTATTTTTTTAAAAATATCTGTTTAAAAATCTAAATTGTAATTAATATTTGTAAAAATGGTTGTTGGATTAAAAGCCTATTCATGTAAATTATATATATTAATTTTCATATTAATTGAATGATTATAACTTTTTAATAAAAAAAATTTATTTACTAACATATATTTAACAATATTAAATCTCTTATAATCAATGAAATAATTAGACATATTAAAATAATTTTAAAATTAGTAATATAATTTATATAAATAAAAATTTTAATTTAATAGTTAATTTTATAAATATTAATTAAAATATAAAGTTTTAAAGATATTCTAAAATTGTTTGAAAAAACTGACTTGTAAAATACTACTCTCTTTTAA